AGCTTGTCGGATCTCCCGCAGTAAGTACTGGTCAAGGAAAGCATCTAAAAAATTCTTCCAACTAGCTGGAGGTGCATCACGTGCCCTGGACCTCTCCCATCCCTCGTACCAAAGGATGGCTATATCTCGGAGTCGAAAGCAGCTAGCTCAACTGCTTCTTTATCTGTGGCATGCATAACCCGAAAGATCTTGTGAAGCTGATCTATGAAATCTTGCGGGTCCTCCCTCTGATCTGACCCCGTAAACTCTGGGGGACTCAAAGCAATAAACTCTCGGACCCTTGAACTCCCAGACCGCTCAGAAGATCCTCCACTAGCTGATGCCCTATCTTGTTGCTGGGTAGCTACCAATTATGTCAACAAATGCACCGCACTCCTCAAGTTCTGATCTGGTGAAAGTGGAGGGGGAACTGGATGTGAGGTATCCCTAGGAATCTCCTCAGGTGGTGGAGGAGCCGGTAATGGCTGAGTAGGGGTCTCGCCTTGGGCCTCAGACTGGGACCCATCTACTAGGGGTACCCTGCTGGTCCCCTCACCTATTGTTGTATCTCCCCTATGGCTAGCCGTAGTCTTCCTAGTCACCGTCATTTGTGTATGAAAACACCAACACGTAAGTTTAACTCAAATTTCCTATAACTCAGTTCTACAGCACGATTTAGATTTGAAAGAAGGGTAACCAACTCCTAAATACATTGTAGCTCCCTGCTTATATAATGTGATGCACAACACATCTATAAATAAGATCCTACTAGACACGGCTTGTAGACTCCCTAGGACAAAACTGCTCTGATACCAAGTTTGTCACGCCCCGACCTGGGAGCGAGACTGGCACTCGGTGCCTCAACTAACCTAGTGTACCAAATTGCGACTAATAGACTCTGAACATATAATGTCATAATTTGGCCATGGGGCCACCTTGCAAGACAATTTGCGAAGCAAAATATAAAACTGAATGGAAACTAGCGCTCACTAAACATCAATATAAAGTTGGGCCGACAAGGCCGTCATAACTACTACAACTGACAAACCACCAAAATATACATACCAGGCCTACAAGCCCAACATAGTGCACTAACTAACAAGATATATCTATAAGCCTCTACTAATGGATATATTATGACCGGAACAGGGCCCCGACCTACCCATAACATATATACATACATACAGAAGATGTACACGAAAACCTAGACCCGATAACTCCAAAGAACGTGGAGCTTACCAATCAGGCTGAACTCAGGAAACACCTACTGAGGAGGTATACCCGTCTGTCTATCTGAACCTGCACGCATGAAATGCAGCGTCCCCAAAAAAGGGACGTCAGTACAAAATAATGTACTGAGTATATAAGGCAATAACATAACTGAAAGTTGAAACTGAACTGATAATATAATAACTGAAAGTAATTAGAATTCAAAGATGATTTAGAGATATACTTACANACACCCCAATCTCTTCATACACAAAACGACCATCGTAGTAGTGTCAACAACCCCGAAAATGTTATGACGAACGACCAGCCCAAACATCCTGCATTTATGTGGTGTTTCTCCACACCCGTACGCCTCCAAAACTCCACAAAACAGTAGTAAATTACGCAGCCCAACAACAACACCAAACAGTCCACAAAACAATCCATAAAATAGTCCGCTACAAGTGAATAACTAGAACTCACGACTTCCGATCACCGTCCCGTGAGTTCTTACAAATATAGAATAACTTACCATGCATCTACAACTGTAAAGAATGGATGAAAGAGAGCAGTAAACTTACCTTATTTGTGGGATAACTCAGCTCCTATCTTGGTTCTTCAAACTCTAGGCTTTACCTCCAATTAGAACTTGAAAGAGAGAGAAAATCAATTGGGGTTTGTGAAAAATTTTTGGGAGGATTTTTGCAGAGATTAAGTCTGGTTATTTTGCCCTATTATAATCCTAATATATGAAGGGGATAGGCCTTTAAAAAGGCCTCTTTGAACGACCCGAACTGGCCCAGTTTTGGATTTTCGTTTAAGCAAGTAGGTGACAGTCTGCACAGTCTCGCAAAAATGCCCATATCTCTCTACTCCGATATCGTATTGACAAACAGTTTAATGCGTTGGAAAGTAGATTCATAGATATTTAATTTTATGGGTGGAAAACCCCATAACTCTAAGTATATTGGGAGAAAATCGCAGTTACATTTGACCCAAAGTTTCAGTAAAACTTATGAACGCAACTTGTGATGACTTTCATCGACTTTTGTTCCACCACTCGCTTGACTTCAAAACATAACACACGACTATTACACGAATAACATAACTCGTAACATAATCTCCTTATAATGTAAAACACCCTGGTCTCATCCTAAAAGTACATGCTATAACATTCCCAATTTGTCGGCTTTCAACGAAACATTATTTTCTTCAATTCATTTAGCTTCTAAACCTTCCAACCCTCTTTGTACTTGTTGTTCATCATATTCAATATTTGTAACTTCCGAGGTAACATGATTAACTTGCTTTATATATTTTCAAAGATGATCTCATTTTTTGGTCCTACATTAGTTTGCTCACGACGCAGTTTTACGTACAAAAATATAGGGTGTAACAAGTACTACCAGTAGTTTCAAAATCGACAAAAGCAGAGACTGTAAAAGCTAGCTTGCCAAAGTTATACTTCTGCCCTCAAATGAAAAATATTCAACTGACAAGAAATAAAAAGTAAGAACAAATCCAGTATTCAGTGTCTTCTTGCTTCGTGTCGGAAACCAAGAAGAACATCCAATAAAAAAAGATTTGGTTCTTCCTAAACATTTGGTTATCAATCCCAATGATAATAGTGGTGCATTTAATAAGAGAAATATTTTTATCATTAGATTAAAACGCAATTTGTACAAATCACATGATAGAATTAAAAAGATATCTAAGCTAGCAGAAACGAATATGTTGATCAACTAAATAAAAGGTTGATTGCAAAATTTTATAGTAAAAACAAAATATTTTTCTGTTTTTGACTCAGCAGAAAATGATACCAATAATTACTACCAAGAAGAATACTTAAATACATTAATACCAAATGGTCTTCTACCATATATGTTTGTTTGTCAAGTTTATTATTTCTTACATATGTTGAAGAAAAATATGCTTGTCCTGCTGCTGAAAAACTTAGATACGTCGAATAGCTTATGTAATAGTACACGGATGGTATATTGAAGTTTTGACAACGTCTTACATGCAAAAATTATGATACTGGTCAATGTGCTTCTAAGTATATTCTTATCCCTGAATTCAACTTTTGTCTTTAGAAACTAAGGAATATCTGATTTAATTTGTGTGAAAATAATTTTTAGTATGTTTATGTTATGCAAACATAATAAATAAAGCACAAGGACAAACATACTAAATATTGGACTATATTTATCGCAATATATTTTCTTGCACGAACAGTGTATGTTGTACTTTCAAGAGGGATATCAAGATCGACAACAAGAGTTTTGGTTAAGGCATAGCGACCAAAGCATTAGGAGGAAACATACACAAAAAAATATTGTCCACAAAGAAGTGTTCGTTAAGATACCATCACATTAAATACTTTTAAACTATAATACATAATTATCTAACTAACATTTTAAAATTGATCATTTGTGTAAGTTTTGATGATGTCCTTTTATTTTAATTCATGTATTATGCTAATGCGATAATATTTTTCGGCATTTACTGACTGTTGTATTATTATACATAAAATTTTTCTCATTAATATAATTTTATTGTTCTTTCATATAAACAAATGTTTAAATCATCATATATCATTATTAGCGTGCAACGCACGTTCATAAATACTAGTATATATATATTGTACATGAATTATACATATATTATATATTAATATATTTTTTTAGTTTAACCAGTTGGATAAGAGACTATTTAATCTTATCCGAATAGCACAATTGAAGTTCTTAATGAAGATCTCACTAGTCGCTAATCCGAAATTCCGAATCCAGCAATCTTTCCACCACGACTATCCAATATATTTCCTTTTGCAAGAAATTGTCCTTTTTAGAATCGCTTTTTATATTTTGATCCTGTTAAATAAATTTTGGTAAAATAGCCTGGTTGCCATAATTTCTCATATAAAAAATTCTGATGATTGCCATGTTTAATAGCAAATCCTGATGATCACTATATAAAAAATTCTTGTAATTGTCATATTTTTGCAAATCTTGATAATCACCAAATGAAAAATTTTGGCGAAAATCCTGACTGAAGCGCTTCCCAAAATTCTGGAGAAAGCTACTTTCCAAGACTTTTCTTACCGGGATCAAAAAATCAATAGTGATCCAAAGTGTCATTTCTTTCATTCGCCCTTTCCTTCCTCCACTGTCAACTCTCTCTCTTGTATCCTAGTGTAACATGTCATTCCATGATTTACATTCCTCCAAATTCCAACTCATCGGCTCCTAAAACAAGACTGTTATCCCACAAGTGGGGCCTGAGAAAAGTAGCGTGTACGCAGACTTTACCCCTACCTTGAGAGTAGAGAGGATGTTTCCAATAGACCCTCGGCTCAAGAAAATACGAAAAGAAAGCAATAGCAACAAGCAATAATATCAACACCAAGATAACAAATAAACAAGCGGAATGATCAACATGTTATAATAAAGTTGGAATTACTAACTACTTTATTATTGGTATGGGGAACTACTAATATTATTGGTATGGGGAAGACACACACTCGACTACCTACTAACCTTCTACCCTAATTATCAAACTCTGCACCTTCTTATCAAGGGTCATGTCCTCAGTGGGTCATGTCCCATGTCCTCAGTGGGTCATGTCCTCATTAAGCTGAAGCAACGCCAAATCTTGCACAATCACAGGATTAATGCAGTATGATTAATCTTCGAGGTCCGGATCCTAACGTGACTATGTTGCAATGCTTATTATCTATCAACAATCTATATTTTATGCGTAAACACTTTTGACTTTAAATAATATAAGCCTCTTACCAAAAAGAAAATACATAATAGAGCCAACCAAGGTTCAACATAGATTCATCTAAACAAGCTCGAAGTTCAAGCGTTTATCAACTCATTATGAAACATTCAAGCATAAAGCAGTTAAAACTCTTGGATTAGATCTTTGGAAATGTAGAAGGCTAGTGAAGTCGAGCAGCTACACCCAACTTATGCAGTTTCAACCAAATGCCTAGACATCTAGTTTACCATCTTTGTTGCTGATTGCCTACAGAAAGGGGGACTTTTTACAAGGGAAGTCACAATATCCCGCTAATTGATCCACTACAGGGTACTGGGGTTTAACATCTTAAAGTTGATATGTAAAGGCTGAAAGTAACACTTGTAGATAGTATCTATGATGTCGAGAAGACTAAAATCTCTGCTCCGTCATCACTGTAGGTTGAGCTTCAGAAAGCCTTCTTCCTAAATAAGGACCTCTTCTGATAGCTTCCTCCAGCTGCGGAAAGAGCACAACATTATATTACAAATGTAAGAAAGCACACAGTCAACAGGAGGTGAAAAGGAAATGAAAATGAAAAATCCTCGATCAAACCAAGACTTATGTCACTGGGCTATCAGCCCTCGGTCATCTTAAAAGACATTTACTTGGCTAAAAGATTGTGTTAATGAAGATTTAACTTGGTCTTCTGTAAATCATATCACATTCCTTTTATTCTCCATTTGCTTTTCCTAGAAAAAACATTTTTCTCTTGCAGCTACCTTCGTGGTTGTCTTAAGGAACTGCCTGCAACCATATTATTTGACTTGAGTCCCAATATTTACTTTACTAGAACACTACTGTCCATTTCACTAGAGCACTACTGTCCATTTCAGAGAAGGATGTACTCCAACCTTCTTCTATTCCTACAAAAAGGGTGGGGAGAAAGATGAATGATGCGTGCATCTTGCATTCACCTAGGCTAGTCCTAGATCGTCAAAGAGCTAGTCTCATTCTTAAATTTTCCATGCAGTACTTACACAAAGAAAAGCAAAATGCAAAAATAGGTTGGGCACCTAACATGTTTGTCTATATCTATAGAACATAGGTATAAAAAGTAGTAGTAAATACAGGGGTGAAAATAAGGACCCGTCAGACTTCTATAACAGGGAACTCTGTGATAGAGGACCAATTCGATCTCAGCAAACCATAAGTAAATCCGTAAAAATTTGAACACAAGGATATAAATCAGGAAAGACACACCTTTGTAGCTACACCAGAAAGTGCATTGTCAGCGATCAGCTTACTAGATGAGGTGAAACCTTTGTAGATTGACTGGCAACATTTGTGTCTAGCTTCCATACCTGAAAATTAACCAATATTGAATCTCTAAACAAGAACATGTACTATGCGAAATAGTTACTGTTTTACAATAGTATATTAAGATTTAAACAGGATGCATACAACTCAATTAAGGCCTAAATGAGGATGATCTTTCAATCTCATCTGTCAAAAGTCCTACTCAGCCAGGTGACCTAAAAATCAATTGCTGACAATGCAATTTTTGTAGTAGGGAGATATGGTAAGTTACAGACTATATTAACTTGCAGTTATATGGGCCAGCGTGATGTTGAATGAGAAAATGGAGTAGCACAAAAGTCAGTTAGGTGAAGACACGGCTAATCAGAGAGAATGCCAAGAAAATGTCATCAAATGTCCGCATTTAGATATGCAAATAGCAGATATTTGTACCGATAAAAAAAATGTTTGCGTACTATGTCAAGCAAATTGGATATTAACATACAGACCTATCTTGTCTCTCTCTGTACAAGTGTCAGTTGCTATATTTATTATTTCTTGTCTGGAGACAACCTCCATCAGGCACCAAGGTCGCATCACCAACGCAGTTATCACTCTATAGCCCTGTAAAATGTAAGAGGAGACTGACTTTTTCAAACTGTGCGAGGCTCAGAAAAGGAGTAAAAACTTTCAGGTTATGAAACCAAAGTTGATTAACTCCTATGGTGTATATTTAAACCTGCCTTAGAAGTCCCACTGTCAACCTTCATTTTCTTTTATTTCTTTCTAGGTTGTGAGGGAGAGATCAAGCATTTGCAAATATCTGTCTACCTACCTTTTTATGAATAATTGTTCTTAATGATAAACATATGTTAAACATCAAAAAGAAGAAAACAGATACAAAATTGAGCAAGAGATCTTAAGGAAGATGTCCTGATCATTAAAGATGTGAAAGATTCAACAAATTATAACAAAATACCACAAGACAATACTGATATACTAACTTAAAAACCACATGATAGCAATTAAACTGAAATAAGAAAACTACTACCAATAGTAAGGGAATCACAATAAAACCACTACAATAATATTGATAAAGGGAAAGATTGAAAACCGCAGAGGCAAGTTGGGTTTGTGCTTTAACAATGTAAAGGTATAATCAAATGAGTTATGCACTGGATTTGACTTTTTCAAAGTTGGCAATTTGTTTCAAGATAGTTGTTCTATAGAATCATTCTCCGTCACATTTTTTTAAAAAGAAAAATCATAGATATTATCTGCTTCATAATTTGTTTCTAAGTGGAACATCAAGATGTCAGCATCATGAAATGGTTTGCTTTACTTTGAACTCTATACGGAAAATACATGAATGAAGAGAGTACTTTCTTTTTCTAGCTCATTATTCCTCTACACACTTAACAATTTCAAATCCAGTTTAAATTAATACGATTCACATGCATCACACATCTCACTTCCCAGCTAAAATAATCAAAACTTTCAACAGAGACAGCTACGTAAGAAGGAATAGCTACTTCACATAGTAAATTTTGAAAAGATAACACAAACAAGGTAGCTTTTATCGAACTGCTTCTCTCTGTGAGATGATATTAGTCATGAATTGCAGAGATATATCTCACCGCCTTACGAATTTCTGAATCCTGTTGAAGGACTGATAAGAGGAGACCCTGTCACAAGGAACAATTTAAATAAGTAACCAAACGTTTAAAAAAACAAACAAGCAAAAACCATCATGTCAACAAATTATATTAGGAGAAATTCAAAGAAGAATTTGAAGGCCTTAAAGCTGAACACAACTCTAACAATAGGTTCATACACAAACTCTTCCATGCACCATGGTAATGCATTTCACGTGTTTTCCTTTCTTTTATAATCCTTTTGTTTTAACCCCCCCCCCCCCCCCTTTTATTTTCTCAGAACGTGTTATTAGAGCAGGATTTGTTACTTGTTAGCTTAAAGCAAACAAATTTTCAAGATTCCAGCAGTCAGGCATAGCTTTATACCGAGAAGTTTCAAAGTTCTAGCCATGAGACATAAAGAGGAAGATAATGGAAGCATTTTTCATGAAGCCAAAGGCTTCACAGAAATTTAACTCACTGAAGGTGTCAGCTTTGAAGTCTTGGATGCTGTTTCATAGATCAGACGCCGAAGACTCTCCTCTGCAACACCATCCAGCAATACATCATTTTCTGCACGAGTTTCTCCAACAATGTTTGCAAGAGCATGCAATGCCGCCTGTTTTTTGCATTCAAGGGAAGTCTCAAGTAAACATATGTCTGTCACAAATTTCTGACTCTTTATTTCATGAAGTCAGAGTTTGAATGAATTCCGCATGGAATTTAAGCAATAGATAAAGATACTAAATCTCCAATTTGCTTCTGGCTGAAGTTAATTAGAATACAATAATAAACCAGGCAGTCTTTTTGGTACTTAAAAAGGAGATTGTTTACAAGACTGGATGAAGCTGACATCATCACACAACATTCATTAGATGGGCGTGTATATATTGACATGGATAACACAAGTTAAAGCTCGCACCCTGAGCAGTCAAATTCAATTATTATAGCAGAGAGTAGAAATGTGAGCAAAATAGATGTGCTTACCAGCTGTTTACCATGCTGTTGCCGATCAAAAGCTGCATAAATGACATGTCTTCCGGCAGGTTGTGCACCTGAGAGAAGCAATGCTGCCCCTTTGCTGGCTGCAAGATGCCATAGATGAGAAAATTTTAATTTCAAATACAATGTATATTCTTAACCAAGCGAGCATGGGCTGAAGTGGCATGTGTGCACAGTGAATCAAAAAGAAAAAATCAAACATGCAAAGAAAAACATACTTCTGTATGAATGCAAGAACCAGTATTTACTATTGAGAAGCATAGGCATATCAAGAACAAGCGGACAGAATAGAGACTTTCTGATGAGAGGACAAAATGTTAGTTCAAAGGATCTGTCTATTAGAAAGGATGCTTGAAGAATGAGATCAGAATCTATTGCCACCAACGACATTTCCCTGCAACTACGAAGCTGCAACCCAGTACTCACATTTCATAGCCTGAATATATTAATACCTGAGAATATTATGAAGCAACCCTAGCATTATAAAAAATGGGTTAGTCAAGAATGATAAAATATGCATAGGAGTTGATTACCATCAACCATCAAGTAACCTGGTTATTACAGAGCCTATGGATCTTTGAGCTAGTACATCACTAGGTCATGAGTCACCACTCAGCATTAAGCACCCCTCCCCCCACTGTGTCATTTGACCAACAATTCATGCACAGTACCGAGCAAGGACAGCATCGAGGTAGGTCCTCCGTACTTAGTTTTTAGCCACTGACTTAGACCAGAGTTTGGCCATGCTTAAAGATCTCTATGGTATGTAAGAATTGCCTTCAAGCTATGGACCTTATAACATCAGAGCTTCCACTTATTATTCAATTTTACTGACATCAAACAAAAAGATGTTCTGATCAAAGGGGAGACAAGAGTATATGTATAAAGGGTAAGGAAAAAGACCTTAGAACAGTTCAATACTCTATAATTATTATTATGCCCGCTTAGAATACACACTACTTTGTTCAGATACCAAAAAATAAGGATCAGCACCAAGTTAATCTCCAATAAACCAATGGTGATCTCACAAGTACAAGGTTTGATCATTAATTTAAAGAAAGCCTCAACAAAATCCCTTCAACTATTTAAAGTTATTATTGAGATAAATGTAGCTCTTGCCAAAGAGAACTGAGCTACATCATATGGACATAAATATAAAGAAATTAAAGAACTTACAGAATCCAATTTGTCCCAGTGCTTCAAGGGCGCATTCACACTCATCTGCATTTTCACTTTCTAACAAATTGAATCTTCTGTCAATGGCTGAAATAAGATTTCTAATACCTGAAAGCCAGAAAAAGATTTTAAGAGTCAATTCTGCTTGTACCTATCTGCCAGAGAGTTATAATGCGAGCAAACAAAACCTGCAGTAAAACAACAAAAAAATAAGGTAGGATATATGTCAACTAAACAAGGTATTTCCCTACCCAGAATATACCATTGATTTCAGAACAAAATTCAGATCCTCTTACATTCTAATTAAGACATGCCAAATGACCGCGATGCTAGTTTTCTTGGATAAGAGAGTTGTGTATCTAACCAATATGGTAATGCTTTTCCTAATCATTCTAATTAACTCAAGTTACAACTATACATGTTTGATTGGGCTTGAATCAGAAGTTGAAATTAATTGATGGAAAGTAGAGTACTTGGACCCACTCACAAGTCCATTAATTATGCACCAGAAAACCTGAATACAGTATCAAAGCCATGTATATATCTTATTCATCACACTAGTGATGAGCTAATAAAATGAAATTTTAAAATACTACACAACAACAACAACAACAAACCCAGTGTAATCCCACAAGTGGGAAAATTTAAATACTAAGCATACCTACAAATTGTATAGTTAATAAGTTTCAGATATAAATAAATTTGGATGCCAACTAAGACTTAGAAGATGTATATGTGAGTATTACCAAATTCATCGATGAATACAAAGGCATTCTCCTTCGCCATTAGCCTTCCAGTTATCATCATTGCTCTTGATCTCAAGATCGATTCAGCAGAAGCATCGCTAGGAAGATAGGCAGGCAAAGAAATAGATATGACAGTCAGAATCATTGAATGACAAATTCAGAAGGCGAAATACATAAACAGCCCCTTTAAGTTGTCCTCAACCATCATATAGACACCTTACCTACGCTAATGACCATATAGACACCTCTTCTCGACTGAAGTGTAACTCATGAACCCCTCATGGTGGCATGGCAAAGTGTGTGTTTTTTATTCACATCTAGGCGCGTGAAACCGTCAAAATTAAGCCTTTTTTTAAATATAAAATTAACCTTGCTTTATAATGACCCCACTTACCTTCATCTTTGTACTTCTTCTTCTTCTTCAAGTTTTTCACCATTGATGAAAAACAAGAACAATTAGAGAGTTTCGTCCAAATTATAGCAAATAGAAAAAAACATAAAATAAGCACACAATTTCTTCCTATATACTAACACAATTGCATATACAAACAACTACAAGCATTACCGTATTGATTAATTGGATAAATCAAACATCACAATATTAAGGTAGAAGAATCATGGCTGAGATGAAATTTACAGCAGTACTCACTAGAGTAAATTGAACCCTCTAAAAATTGATGCTTTAACCAAAATATTCTCCCAAAATCAGTTGTAAAAGGGAGCACAATTTTTTGTTAACCTTTGGTGCGAAACTTCATGGCTGAACTCCATCACCACCACCTCTATCGCCGCCACCAACAGAGACAACACCTCTGGCAGTAAAGATGTTTGAGGCTCCTAGACGGCAAAGATTAAGACCAAAATCCAATAATTTTTGGTGGATCTTTACTGCTTGGTTTTCCAAGAGAAGAACTTTTAAGAAAGAAGTAGGTGAAGGGCGAGAGGCAGTACCGACAATTGGAAAACTTCTGATATAACCATTTTGGAGTGGAACGGCTCCGTCTATCATATTTTGGCTCTCGATTGTGGAGAAGAAGAAGAAGTAAAGGAAGGGAAAGAATTGCAGCAGTGGGTGGGGAAGCTTGAAAGAAGTTGCAGAAGAAAAAGGTAGGGAATGGGTGATGATTTTCTACTTGAGGGTTCTTTTTTTTGGGAAGAACATAGGTGAAAGGAGGTGAGGGGGAGAGGAGGGGGATGGGAGAAGAAGAATAGGTTTTGGTTGGGGGGGGCTCACTGGTCTAGATGAAAATAAGGAAAAAGGCACTTTTCTTTAAATATCCTTTTTTTTAGTTGCATGTGTCAAAATTTTTTATTATAAATTGTATGTATCATTTTTTAAGTGGTTCGTTTGACACATCATTGACAAGTGCAACTCACGTATATGGTTTGTTCCACTCGGGTGTGTACTTGATACACTTAATAGACACTTTGAAGTGTCTAAATGGTAAAAGGGTCAGTTGAGATGTCCATCTGGTAGGTGAGGACAACTTAAAGGAGCCGTTTAAGTATTTCGCCAAATCAGAATCATAAGCAGCAATTCTGTAACGTGCAGACCTAATAATTGAAGTAAGAATTTGGAGAAGTTTTGTCCTTGACAAGAACTCAGTGCTGTGCTGAACATCAGCCAACTTCATTCACCCAGCACATACAAGAAAAACAAGTAAAACATCAATCAGGAACCAGTTGAAAAAAGGGCATTAAGTGATTATTACGGAAAGTAATGGATTCTAGAATCAAGAAGATGGCAGCTTGACAAACACATACACACAAAAACACAAACAAAAGGATAGTATTTGATATATGCCATCAATAGACACCCCCTTCCCAAAGAAAAAGGAGAATATTTGATACATGCCAACAATTGACCCCCTATACCTAAAGAGCGAGAACAGAACATAATCAGGAATAAGGTCTTAAATGCATAGGAAACTTCCAAGTGTTAGCCACCTTTCCTCGGATCTCAGGATGATGCAAAGATCTGGTATGTTGTTAAGGCAGACAAGGGAAATTTTACTTAGGATGAATACCTAACCCTAGTTCTTTGCCTTATATTTTCAGTATTTTACTGATATTTTCATTTTCTTTTGTGTTTACTATAGACTATGAAACCACATCTCGGCACAGCAAGGTGAAGGCACAAACATAAAACAACAGAGCAAAATTTTCTCGATGGCTGTCGAGAGAGAGAACATCAAGTGCTTTGCTGACATTGAATTTGCATAAGGACATGTTCGATATTCTAAGACATGGTCACTTAGCAATACTAATACATACTACTTATGGTTCACATTGTGACATGCTATTCTGCTATCAAAGAAGTAAATGCCCATATTGTTCTGCATCTTTTGTGCTATTCAAACAGTAATAAAGAGTTGATACATTGTGTCAAGAGTGCAAATCTTTTATGACATGGGACTTCCTGAGTTTTTTAACAAAACGAATAAATCCCGATGATATGATTTACCAATGCTGAATATAATATGCAAAATTTTAAGCTGATAAGACCATATAAAGTTACAAACAGAATGCAAATGCGACGATCATATGTACATGGAAATCTTATAACTAGCTAAGAGCAAACCTCATATAAGAGTTCCAAGCTGCTCAAAGTGACTAATGTATCATTTGCATTGCTAATTTCTACCTCCACCAGGCTAAGAAGATTTGAATTATACACTCTTGATGCCACAGAAGTGGAAATGGAGAACAACTTCACTATCAAAGCTAAGACTCTGACTCTTCCCTGAGGATTTAGCAAAATGAAAAGCCAAAGTACAAGCAATAAGATAATAAAACAGTTGATAGAAAGACAAAAGCATATCACAGGTCAACGAGGTTCAGATGAATTAAGAACCACCATTCCCACTGACATTGGGTACCACTTTAGTACCTTTATTTCCTGTTTCTTGAACCTTTTTTTTTTAATTTGGTGGGATGAGTAAGGCAAGTTCTCTGATCAAGATATACAACATACCAGGGTACCAACTCAATTACATCCAGAGCAAAATAGATAGGCAGTTACCATTTCTATTTAAATCAGTGAAGAGAATATGTAATACATATAAGCATATTTGGAATTATGTCATGTAGATTTTAGGAGCAATTGATACAAAAGTACAACCATTTTGATTTGAAAAGATATTTATGAAGTATGATACTTTTTATTACAAATTAAAGTGAAAATGTTGGAGGAGCTTCACCAAAATAAGAAAAATAATAACAAGTACTATGATGGGTTAAAAAAAAAAGAAGAAATATTGTAGTAGAACCACTAATTCAGCCCTATCTTTAATCAAGCAGCAGGAATTTGGGAGCACGTTTGCATTAAAACATGAATGGATTACGAAGGAATTTATAACTTAAAATGGTGCGGCTTCATTAGTAGTATAAAGAGCAAGCTAGTGCACTAAACTCCCGTTAAGAGTGGGTCCAAGGATGGGACAGACTATGTTGAGTCTACTTTATGCAGCGTTACCTTGCATTTTCTCAGGAGACTGTTACCATGACTTGAACTCGTGACCTCCCGGTCACACAATAGAAACTCCTACCATTGCGCTAAGGCTCCTCAGTAGTATATATAGATTAAGAGTAGTCTCTTTGTCTCATAGCTTCTTTGTGTTCAGAAAATTAAAAAGATCATAAGCTATGATTAATTAGATAGCAACTACGATATTTTACTTCAACATGACATCAAGTAAAGCACTAAATTCAAAATAGAACTGCTCATTGGATAGAGCACATGGTTTTTCAAACTAATTCCAGCATGGCCTCAAGTAAAGGACTAATGTCAGAAGATAAATGCTCATTGCATAGAGCACGTTGTCTGTCACAGGGCACACAGAACTTTTACCATCCATTAGAAATACCATACCAGAGGTGAACAGTTGGTTGCCAAGTTCACGAGGTTTGTCGCTTCATTGCCACTCTCTGGAAATATGATATCCTACAGAAAACTTTATCAAATTCAACAGAGATCCTTATTTCCATAATATCTGGTCAAATTATCACCACAGGCACGCAGAAATATATGTGCATTGACCAAGATAAGAAGCAGAATACTACATACGATGCCTTTTGAATGGCTAGCCAGTTTCCTAACTGCATCTGTAGATGTGGCAGCAACTTCCTCATCCCTGCCAGAAGAATAATGACTACAAGCAGACCGAATTTCCAGAAGAGGAAAAGAAGTGATATTGAGATGCATACTTTTCGTGCTACTGTGTGGAAGTCACATGTTATCATCAGTACTGAGGATATAAGAATTTCTACTTAAGAAGTCATAACAAGCATGTGGTGCAGCAAAATCCTACAAATCTAAGCAGTAAAGCCTCTACAATAGGATGTGAGGAACTAAAAATGTTGTAGTAAAAGATGACAGGTCCTAAAACATAAGCAGACGGCGTAACAAAATCAGTTCACCAGCAACCTCCACATGGGGAGCCCAAAGCTGGCTAGTCCACAATTCAGGGGGCAATAGCATGCAAACAAAGACAAAAAGTCTTGAGGACATGGACCAGAAAAAAGTTAAAATGGAAAAATAAAAGAAATGGTTTTCGTTTAAGATTTTGTCTTTGACAAGAAATATTGTCACAAGTATCAATGTTTCTGTTTCTAAGAATAAACATAGAATCCCAAATAAACAACAACAATTGACAATGTGTTCCCCAACTGAAAGGACTTGTAGGTAATACAAGAACCATCCATCCACATGACCCGATTAAATTCCAAAAAGAACTCCAAATCAAAGAAGCAGAATTGGAAAGAGGTCATACTACCTGATTGCAATATTTTAACAGAACATATCATGCTTGCAGATAAAATGAAATGATGAAAGAGAACAGTTAGTTACTTAATCTAACTCATATACGTATTATTTTTCTAACTCATGACCATATTCTCTTAGAATGAACCCCATATGACCGATAAAGGGGTAAGAATATCATGCAATGTCCAAAATTAAGCAAGCACAAGCGTAAACAAATCGACTGTCGAAGAAGCAAGTGAAGCAAATCGATCGCCACATAAAGGGCAGCCCCACGTCAGGTTCTTCTCTACCAGAGGCAGTGTATCAGTATATCCAACAAAGCCATCTTCACAAAACCAACAAAAAAAGAATTTATAGACAGTTTGGTCTGTGAACTGTGATTGCATGTAGTAACACAGTGCGTTGTGTCTTACCCACTGATGAGGCAATTAAGCAAAAGTTGATAAACTCCATACTCATGAATTAGTTGTACAACAATAGCTTCATCAATATTCTCCAAAAGACAAGACACCTGTACATGGTTACTACTGCATAAGAATCAAAACTGGAAGCCAAAAAGATTGCCTACATTCGTGGTTTTCAGCAAGTTGACAAAGACAGCTAAAAATTAGAATAACATGGAGCACAATGAAGAAAGCAAAATGGATAATAGATACGATAATTGAATTCTCCGGCACGATTAGAATGCGTAATAACATATAGTAGAAAATTCAGCAATTCCAAAAACTAATTCACATATTATGTTTCTCATAGGATGAAAAGTCTAAACTTGCTAGGTTGTCAATTTCAGATTAACATCAATCCTGCTTAAATTAGCCAGAACACATCTACGGAAATTTGCAATCCGTTAAATCCATTTGTCATCACTATCCAGTTCTCTCATATACCAACCGCATCCTACAGAGTTAACGACATGTTTTCAGGATAATAATCTTTCACACAGCTCAGTTGGGTAGAAACTGGAAAAAAAAAAAAAGAGATAATATCTTAAATTAAATTTACGGATGCACATACTTTAGGCTAAACAAAAAAGCCTTGAATTTATCACAGAAGCACTTACTGTTTGGCAAGCTAAACGTCTGACTTTTTGAGACTCTGCACCCAGACCAACAATTACAAATGGCTGCAACAAAGCACAAATCAGACCAAGCAATTTAGAGAAAAGTAATGATTTATCTCAAAATCTATAATGATGGACACGTGTAAAAGTATATAAGTAGCACAGAGATGGATAAGGGAATAAATTATTAAACATAAATACAGATTGACATTCAATAGACCAGCTCTATAAGACTACACAAGGATCCCTACTCAGATATATTCCAATCTATTTCCTTATTGCTGTTTAAGATCAATTTTCTGGATTTGATTTTGGCTCATATTGAGAGGACTAGATTTTCTGAAAATATTTTGAAAACAACTTAGTGAAAAGTTAGCTGTTAGGAAAACCCTACTTTTTGGATTGTTTTTTATTTCAGAAAGGTTTTGATTTGATTTCCGGAAACCAATAGATATTGTAATCCAAATGCTTCTGTTTCTGGTTTTCTTGAAAAGTTTTGGAATAGCTCTTCCAGACATTTTATGATGTTGACTTCCTTCTCTATTTTTCTTATTCCATTTTTAAGCTTCATTTTTTGCCCTTGCAATTCTAACAATAAATGAAAGTCAAATCAGTGAAAATACTGGGTACAGTTTACGAGTTTACGTGTTTACAATGAATGGAACTCTTGTAAAAGAGTAAACCATCCTTGATCGCTATTGATCAAGATCTTTATAAATCAGTCATGAACAGAAGTTAACATGATAAATAAGATTAAGCACCATTTGAATAGCTGGAAGCAAAAAGAACAGCAAGAAACTAAACCTTTTTCTATTCCTTACATTGCTTTTAGGAAGGAAGTTGTACCCCTATCATTATAAATTCGTTTAAATTTATAGCTGTCTATGTCGAGATAACGATCGACTTCTTTCAAACTCACAAAAACAAACACTAATGACAAGTGAGTGTTCGTTAAATTTTCTTTAACTTTCCCGTTCACTGTGATTTCGCGTTATTCCTTCGCTCAACTAGATAGAACCCAAAAGTCTCTTGAGCGCGCAGGTTTAAATCCAAATAGAAAACTTATCAATCAAGTGCTTCACATCCCCAACATATAGTTTAAACTATTAGTAACCAAATGCTCCCTTTGTTTGAGTTTATGTGAAAAAATTTCTTCTTTAGTTCGTTCCAAAAAGAAATGGCAGCTTTCAAAATTTGGAAATAATTTAACTTAAACTTTTCATTTTACCCTTAATGAGACGCTTTTATAGCCATACAAATGTTATGGAATGTTTAAGACCACAAGTTCTCTTAAACTTTGTTCGGATACAAACTTTGCACACATAAATTGGAACAGAGGCGATAGCCTATATACTTCACACATTTGTGATACCAGAAACACAGAACTCATTCCAATATGAAGCTTCGAACCGAGCTTATTAGTACTACCATTATTGCCATACCATGTAGTGTGGAATGAGTGATGCTCCATATCTTGTCTTGAAAAGCCTTTCTAAACAATCAACCAACGCATTTTCCAGGCCAGGGTGTTCTGCTTTTGTTTGCAAAGCACTGAAAGCAATTTAAAGTCCACAATCAGCAAGCTAAAAATTCAGAACTAATTAAGCTCCGTATTTAATTTCTGTTAAACGTAAAGGATTTTTATCTATATATAGCTTTAAACATTTTATTTCCAACCCCCCCCCCCAAAAAAAAGAGAAAAGGAGAAATAGAGATACTTGATAATGGCAGGAAGAGGAAATCGATTGAGAAAGTCTTGAGCTGAAGCATCGGAATGAGCGCCTGAAAATTGGATGATACAAATTAACCATATGCTTATTACCAAATAGGAGAAACAAGTAAAAATAGTGATTGTTGTAGGAAGAAAGAGGGAAACGGTAGAAATACCAGGATAATACGCAAAGTCAGTAGCAGCTTCCAGTAACTGAGCTGGATCCACTGAGTACTCTTCCTCCATTGTTATTTTTTGCAGCGGAAATGAGAAGGATTAGAGAGTACAATAGAGAGAGAACTGCTGAATCGGTTTTTAAAACTCTGCTTACTTGCGCCACACTCGCAATGTCCAGTCTCCAGTGTCGTTTACTGTGTTTCTACCTTCTTTTTTTGGGGGAAATTTATACTCAAAGTGAATTGACAGAAAACCCAAACATATAAAGTACCTAAAATATATATATATATA